GGGAGGGGGACATGTATGACGCGTGACGCGCGGGGGGAGCGGGAGGCACAGGTGCGAGCAGCCTCCATAGTCGTCAGCGCAGCGGTTCCAGCCTGCGGAGAGGGACATGTATGACGCGTGACGCGCGGGGAGGGGGGCATGTATGACGCGTGACGCGCGGGGGAAAGGGGACATGTATGACGCGTGACGCGCGGGGGGGAGCGGGAGGCACAGGTGCGAGCAGCCTCCATAGTCGTCAGCGCAGCGGTTCCAGCCTGCGGAGAGGGAGGGGGACATGTATGACGCGTGACGCGCGGGGGGGAGCGGGAGGCACAGGTGCGAGCAGCCTCCGTAGTCGTCAGCGCAGCGGTTCCAGCCTGCGGAGAGGGAGGGGGACATGTATGACGCGTGACGCGGGGGGAGGGGGACATGTATGACGCGTGACGCGCGGGGGGAGCGGGAGGCACAGGTGTGAGCAGCCTCCATAGTCGTCAGCGCAGCGGTTCCAGCCTGCGGAGAGGGAGGGGGGACGCGTGACACGCGTGAGATGTGTGACACGGGGGGACACAGGTGAGGTACGTGTGACGAGGGCGTGACGCATGTGACACGTGACGCGGGAACGACGCGTGACGTGGGGACACGGGTTGACGCGAGTGAGGCATGTGTGATGCGGGGGACACGGGTGACGCAAGTGAGTAATGTGACGTGTGATGTGGGGATACTGGTGACACGGGTGACAGATGTGACGCATGACGTGGAGACACGGGTGATGTGTGGATGACGCGTGACGCGGGTGAGACGTGCATGACGTGGGGACACGAGAGTGACACACGCGAGTAATGTGACACAGGGACGACGCATGGCACGCGAACGCGGGCGACTATGAACCATAGGCATCACCCGCTGCATTGACGTCAAATTTTTGGATCGATTTGAATAATTAATGAAAGTAATCGATCGAATTCGCTGAACATACACGAGCAAACGGAGTGAGGACACTGCCAGAGGGGCGACCACATTTATGATTTACATGCGAACAGGAGGCGTAAGGGAGGATGGCTATATTTATATCAGACCAATTTGTAAGCATGTGTAGCTAGAGTATCACTAATAATCACACAAGCAGTGTGCAGGCACGTGTTGCCCGTAGCTGTAAGTACACGCGCATTAATTAGTGTATGAAGGGCAGACAGAGGGGAGCTATATCGATGTGGAAACGTAGGGGGTAGATGACTGTAACTATTTATAGGAGCATAATTCGAAAGGATGTATAGACTGTGGGGCGTGGGCACATATTTATTTCAGAAAATAAGCCGTCACGATGCATATGTTTAGCAGTCTCTCAGCATGTGCGTGCTCACTTAGGACCTTGTGCGTGAGTGCGTGCGCGCGTGCCTGGCGTGCGCGCGTGCGTGCGTCCTTGCGTGTGACCGTGCCTGCCTACATGTGTGCGTGCGTGCGTGCGTGCGTGCATGCTTGCGTGCGTGCGTGTCTGCGTGCATGAGCCTGCTTGCGTGTGTGCGTGCGTGCGTGTGCGTGTGTGCATGCCTGTATACGTACGTGCGTGCGTGCGTGCTTGCGTGCGTGCGTGCATGAGCCTGCTTGCGTGTGTGCGTGGGTGCGTGCGTGCATGCCTGTATACGTACGTGCGTGCATACCTGCCTGCGTGCGTGCGTGTCTGCGTGCATGAGCCTGCTTGAATGCGTGTGCAAGTACACCTGCCTGCATGCGTGCGTGTGTGTGTGCGTGCGTGCGTGCGTGCGTTCGTGCGCGTGTGTACGTGCGTGCGTGCGTGCGTTCGTGCGCGTGTGTGCGTGCGTGCGTGCGTGCGTGCGTGTGCGTGCGCTCACCGCTGGTGTTGTCCACGTTGATGGCCTTGAGGCCCATCAGGTCGGGCAGCTGGTCAATGATGATCTCTCGCTGACCACCGTTGATCTTGTTCACGCGCTCGATCGAGCGCCGCTGCCAGTCCGTCCAGTACACGTACTGACCTGTAGCCATGAGAGACACCAGTGTTACATACACACGCACGCGCGACACCACTGTTAGATATGTTGCGAGGGCGGTGGCTACTGCTGCTGTTACTACTGCTGCTGCTGCTACTACTGCTGCTGCTTCTGCTGCTGCTGCTGCTACTGCTGCTGCTGCTACTACTGCTGCTGCTACTGCTGCTGCTGCTGCTGCTACTGCTGCTGTGCTACTACTACTGCTACTGCTGCTTCACACGCTCGATCGAGCGCCGCTGCCAATCCGTCCAGTACACGTACTGACCTGTAGCCACGAGAGACACCAGTGTTACATACAACGCACGCGCGACACCACTGTTAGATATGGTGCGAGGGCGGTGGCTACTGCTGCTGCTGCTGCTGCTGCTACTGCTGCTGCTGCTACTGCTGTTGCTGCTGCTGCTGTTGCTGCTG